ACAATTCCCATCGGCTGCCCCCCCCCCCGCCCCCTATAAAATGTATTTGCAGTTATAAATACCTGGGGACAGAATAATAATCATGCAATCCAGCAGGCTATGAAAATCCTTGCTTTGCTGGGCCCCACCACACTCCTTGAGCCAGGGCTGAGCAACACTGGCCAGGGGAGTCCAGTGCCCAGGGGGGAGAGCAGGGGAGCAGAGCAGAGGGAAGACAGGGTACAAGGCGTGCCTATGATTATGTATTTGCAGTTATAAATACCTGGGGACAGAATAATAATCATGCAATCCAGCAGGCTATGAAAATCCTTGCTTTGCTGGGCCCCACCACACTCCTTGAGCCAGGGCTGAGCAACACTGGCCAGGGGAGTCCAGTGCCCAGGGGGGAGAGCAGGGGAGCAGAGCAGAGGGAAGACAGGGTACAAGGCGTGCCTATGATTTTGCAGGAGAGAAGCAGGAAGCCACCTGATGATGGGGTAGAAAATGGGGATGTGCACACACTTTCAGCTCCACTGATGTAAGACAGCTCCTCAGTCTGGGTGAGCTGTGAATCTCCCCAAGGCCCTGCAGGGCACCATGGGTCTCTCCTTTCTATCCTTGATGCTGCCAGAAATACATCCTCTTTGCCCAGTGCTCTCCTCCCAGCCACAGGGGAAAGTAAAGGGGTGCACCCTGGTCTGGAGCTCTGGCAAGAGCTGGCTGAGCTGTGGCAAAAGCCAGCAGGGAGCTAGTTAAAGAGCTGGCAGGGATCCAGGTTGCAATAAGACAGGACCCGTAAGAAATTTTAAGTTACTTTCATTGCTGTCCCAGCTGGAATTCTCTCCTGGGAGGCTTGTGCTCCGGAATCCACTATAACAACCTCCATGGTGATCTGAGATGAGTCAGGCCCTTTTCTTCCCTGTTTCCTCTATCACCTTCCCAGCCTCTCCTTGCTGGCCTGGTACTGCACCAGAAGTCCAGGGTGGCATGTTCAGAAAACATATAGACACCACTTAATGATTCCTAGTATCAGAGGGGTAGCCGTGTTAGTCTGAATCTACAAAAGTGATAAGGAGTCCTGTGACACCTGATAGACTAACAGATGTACTGGAGCATAAACTTTCGTGGGCAAAAACCCACTTCATCAGGACATGCATCTGATGAAGTGGGTCTTTTCCCACGAAAATTTATGCTTCAATAAATGTGTTAATCTATAAGGTGCCACAGGACTCCTCATTGCTTTTAATGATTCCTGTAATTCTGTCATGAGGCTACCTCTACACTGCAGGCTTCTTGCGCAAGAACTTGCAGAACTTCTACAGTGCATGCGTGTTCTTGCTCAAGTAAATTTACAGTAAAGCGTCGGAATGGAGGGCTTCTTGCACAAGAGTTATTCCTCTTCCCATGAGGAATAAGCTGTCTTGTGCAAGAGCTCTTGCGGAAGAAGGCAGTGTGGATGGGCAAATGGCCATCAGAGCTTTCTTGCACAAAAAAGCATCCACACTGCCATGGATGCTCTTGCGCAAAAGCACATCTCTTGCACAGAAGTACATGGTAGTGTGGACTCACTCTTGTGCAAAACCTTTTGCACAAGAACTCTAGTGCAAAACAGTTCTTGTGCAAGAAACCTGCAGTGTAGACGTAGCCTCAGTGTTCTCTTGTGACGTAGTGTGGGCACCTTGCTGGTTGCTAGTCTTGGGCTGTGCGTGACCCCCACTGGAGGCTGTCTGTACCATGGCCCAGCAGAGTAGCTGATGGACAGGGAGGTAACCTGTTCTACCAGTTACCCCCCAGGGAGAGGAACAAAGGAAGGGGAATGCCGCCCCTGGCTGGGGGGCAGGGCTGGAAGGGA